TATTAGAATTTTAGTACATATTTAACCTATTAAAACCTAAAAAAGCAAATCATTGTCATCAGAATGAATATTACTAAACACGTGTCAGGCGTTACTTTGAATACTTAATACTTAAAAATATGAGGAAATATTTTATATATAATAAAGGAATTATTCAACTTATATAATGCACAAACTGGCTGTTAAAATAAAAGCTTGAATACATATATGGTATGTATTAAACAATATGTTATATAGTGAAACAATATGGTGTGTATTGCTGAATACATATATTTGTATTGCTGGGCAGAGCTTGAATACATATATGGTATGTATTGCTGAATACATATATTGTATATATTGCTGGGGTTTTATACTTAAACATATATGGTGTGTATTGCTGAAACATATATGGTATGTAATATGAATACATATATGGTATGTATTGCTGAAAACATATATTGTATATATTGCAATTTTATACTTGAAACATATATATAAAGTGCTAAATAACGTATATTGTATATATTGTTTAACCTTTTCACTTGAATTACATATATGGTGTGTTTGCTGAATAATATATTTATGTATTGCAGTCCAACTGAAAACATATATGGAATGTATTGCTACAGATCTTGAATACATATATGGTATGTATTGCTTGAAGAGCTTGAATACATATATGGTATTTGCTTTAACTTGTAATATATATAAATGTAAACCCATGAATACATATATGGTATGTATTACTGAATCGAAAGACCACCTTTAAGCAATAGAAATAATAGCAGAGCTATTTTTGTGTTAAAAGAAGTTATTTTGCCACCATTAAGTCATTAAGCTGAAAACTTAAAGGTTTTAATATCCAAACTTTCTTTAATTTAAGGCATATATGCTGATTTAATGGTTCATTAAACTTTTAGTGCATTTTATATGAATTCTTTAAACTAAATGTTATTTATTTTAATATCCATTTGATTAACTGATAACTTTTACTGATCATAATTTCAAAACATGCAAACTTTATCTTAAAAATAGCCACAGGGGCTTTATGAATTTTTTTTTAATCATTTTGATAAGTAAAACAAGAGATTTATCAGAACCGTATATTATTTTTAAAAAAAATTATTAAAATGCGTTGTTTTTATTTTTGTGTATATGATTTTTAAAAATTAAAAATTACTACACAAGCAAGTCCTTGTGAAATATTAAATTTTCAATACCAAAAATGCCTGCCTTAAAATTATTATTATCCATGAACACAGAATATATACACTTTTTAGTTTTTTTTAAAGATTGACTTTAACCATAAAAACTTTTTAATGGCTTTTACATCATGAATAATTTTAATTAATTCGTTATCCTTTTTTTTGAAAACCTAAGTATCAAAATGAAAATCTTCAGTGATTGTTATTTCAAAATCGATTTTAGAAAAAAATCATAAACATAACACTGCAGATGTAAACACATTGAGAAATAGTTAATATTAACAGATGATCAGTGTTTTAAATCATTTGGAGACCCCCGTCCCCGATTAACTAACAGAAAAATATACACACACGACGTACACTGAAGATTTTGATGATCAATTATTTTTACAAAATTTATTTAACGCAAATGTTAACAAATTCAAAGTTATGAAACATTTTAAAAAATCAATTATTTTGATACACATTTTGATACAAAAAGAATTGAAACTGAATATGATAAACAAAATGTGTTTGTAAACGTAATAATTAAATTTACGCAAGGATTGTTAAATTTTGACACAGAAAGTAACATTGGTTAATATCCCGCATTATATTAAAAATTATAATAGAAAATTTTTACTTTCTTTTTTGATAGATTTTTGTGTTTTATCTATAATTAATTTATTTTCAATCATGATTTTAAAATGCATACATGTATAAATTTTGAATTACAGAGCGAGGAACTCAATCACATTACATCAATCTAAAAGCCGAAATCAATGGCGTTAGAAATATTAATGTGATATACTGTCTTTCAAAAAATATAAAATAGTTTTATATTTTATAATAAATCAATTCAAGATTTTTGGAAATATTCAACAAAATTTTGTGATACTTTATTGTCCAAACAAATTTTGTATAAAATAAAGGTTAAATATTTAATGTTTCAATGCTAATCATGAGCGGCGATGGCCTAATGGATAAGGCGTATATGGTAATCCTAAGGTCATGTATTGCCCCCACTTTGGCGATCTTTACATTTTTTTTTAATTTTGAATTTCGTTCTTTTTGATTATTTTTACCATATATGGTATATATTTATAATATTGATAAAACATATAAAAATAATTATTTCACCCATATAAACAATATATGCGTAATGTGGCTTAATTGGCTGGGGCTTAATATACTTTGATTTTTGTAGGACCTGTTGTAAAGATAAAGATGTTTGTTTATTTATTAAGGATCATAAAACCCGCTGAACCTTTAACTACTGTGTTGACTCTTGTGTTTAAATAAGTTAATCAAAATGTAAATGAAGTGAACCCTTGTTTTTACCAACATTAAACCACCATTCACAAAGCCACCTATATTCAGTAGACAGGTCATGTTTGGCATTTTGTGATACATATATGGTAAAATGGAATATTGCTAGAAATTGATTGCGTTTTATTTGTAATAGCTTCTTTAGTGTGCATTTCAAAAATGCCTTTATAACTTTGAAAAATAAAATGACAGTTATTTATGGACAAATTGCTAAATTTGCGTCTGGCTAAAAATTGAAGTGAACTTATACATACAAAAGTTCACCAAATTTAGTTGACAATCAAAATGATCAAAAAAATTTGAACCAAATTATATGTAGAGTTATCTCTCTTGTCTTAGAGAAGCTGTTTGTGACACAAGGAAAACTATATAAATTAACCTAATGTAAAAGGCTGGAAGTAATCTTTTTTTTTTTTTAACTAAATGAATAGATACAGTAAACGTTATAAGTTGAATGGAATTTCACAAGTTATTTTTTTTAAATCATATAAGTGTGAATCATTCGGAAACTAGGTAACACAAACATATACAAACTTGATTTTTTTTCTAAATACCTATTTATGAAAGAGGATGGTCTATTGCATGTACATATAAGAATACTAGTATCTTATTAATGACATTGTATAAATTTTGATAACGAAACAGATTAAAACAAATTTTTTTAGACAAATCATGTTTAATTTGTCTAAATGAGAGAGAGAGAAAAGGAGGATATGGAGATAACGAACAGTATTCAATCTCAAGAAAACAACACAAAGTAGGAGCAAAATTAACACGGACGTCCGAAACATCAGAGGTGGGATCAAGTGCCATGGAGGAGTGCACATCCCCTGCTGACCTGTCACATCCGCCGTGTGATCCTTGTCGGGAAATACCGGAAAATCCGTCGTCAATTCAGTGTATAAATAACGGAATAACAATTTAATTGAAAAACGTCAGTCAACATTTGTCTCTTTTTGCTGACAATATCATTGTATCAACCATAGCATTTACAAAATGATGACTTAAAACGATACTGTTGATATTCTTTTTTTTTTAATTCTTTATTTATTTTACACAATCTGTTCATAAATCAAAATAATACACAATTTATTATATTACAGATTGTTTTTTTCAGAAAGAGAGAGAGAGGGGGAGGAGCGAGAGAGAGAGAGAGAGCACTCGCGCTCACCGACTTGTGGGGAACTCACACCTGACAAAGGACCTTTCTTATGGGGAAAGTTCAGAATTGTGGGGAACTCTCTCGTTCCCCACAAATATGGTCATGGGGTTTTTTGAATTCTACGTGTTCTACTGATAATATTTATTCGATTTGTGGTCATTTTTGAAAAAATCCCCATAAGTCCGTAAAATTGACTCGCAGTAATTTTCTCACTGCACCGTAAAACGAATGTTTGAGGATGCTGGGAAATGTTCATTCGGAACGCAGCGGAATTTAAACTGGTCCCCATATGATACCAATTTATTGCGGGCAATGGCTGCTCCGAGAATATGTGGTAAGTAGATTTTTTATCATATTTTAAAGATATTATAGGCTGAAAACTTAATTTAACTACGTAAATCATGCATGCAGTTATTTCTTACAGACGTTCGTAAAGTAACATTTAATAATGAATGCACGTAAAACTTTGGGAAAGTTTGACCCGACCTAGACCTCGGTTATTTTTTTTTTTAATTGTATCATGTTTATAGGCCTAATGGCTATCCTGTAAGAACAAACTACGGATTTATATGAATTCAGCACCCCCGGGATATGGTAAGCGTTTAAGGCTTGTCCCCATTTTTTGTGAAACGCGACTATCCTCCTCATGCCCATACAAATTATGCTAGACGGTGCGACTGTCTGGTCTTTAGCTGTTTAGTGAGGCCTGTGTGGGCGAATTAATTGTAAAAGTTAATCTGACTTAAACTGTACGTGTATTTATAAACGATGTCAGTCACACACTGACTCAGTGTCAGAAATGTATCACAGAGAACTCCACCTTTTCAAAAGGTCCATTGAAATCAGTACATTTATAGATTTACGTAGCTAAAATTTCTTAGCTTGGTTAGATTATTTAACATGTTTAATTCTTCCAAAAAAAGCTTGATTTAGTTATCGTTTTTTTATCAAGTCATTCTTCCTACTTGTATATATTTCTTCGCATGCGTTGGTTTGCATAGTGTCCATTTGCCTTCATTATCTTTCACCTGCACCCTGTTCTACATTCATCCTGATTGCCCTACTGAAAATATTTTCATGATTTTAGACCATCATTATCGATGTATCATAAGTATTTTTTTTTTATTTTGCTAAGGCCAAGATAAATAGATAGTGTTTCCTATTTTAACCTTAGAAAAGATAGGGTAGGTAGGTAGGAAAAACATTTTTATTTTATTTTAACATTTTATGGCAGGCACGCTGCCACTTTGGCAGGCACGCTGCCACTTTCCCCCAGGATTTCACTGTCAAAATATTTCTGATTAATATGTGTAAGATATGCATTTCTCAAACATGGAAGTGATCAAGATTGGGATTTCATTTCTAATTGTAAACTGGAATTCCGAATACTGTAATATGTGTATATAATTTGGTGCTTTCAAAATTTAGCATAATCACTGGGTTGGCATAATCATAAATTAGCGCTACACATGTATGTGCGGTGTATTGTATATATCAATATGTAAATGATTTCTTAGCAGTATTCATGAATTAGTGCATTGTTGTCTGCACCAAAGCCGCTAAAATATGAAGCCTGCATTTTAAAGTATACATACAGTAGTTTACTCATGGAAAGATATTAGCAGAAAAAATATTGAGGGTCGGCTCCTATACTTCTTAGAGTTAGGCGGGGAACTAAACATGCTGAAAACACACTACTTATTTATTTAGGCCCAATTAAAATGTCTAATAAATTCATTTTAATTAAATACTTATTGTTAATTAAAGATCACCTTTTATTTTTAAAATTTGTTACAATTCAAACCTTGGCCTTGGGGTTTAGATGCTGATGGAATAAATAAGAAACAAAATCATATGTAAAAAATAACTAAAAATCCTTTTCAAAACCTCAATTACTATTGAATTATGATTGGGCGTGGTATACAAAATAATGCGAATTGGAGGAAATGGAGAAACATAGTAATAACAATTAGATCAGCTTTTATGATAGCGAGCATATTAAAAATTTAAAATTGGTTATAAAATTGAAAGGTAATGTTGAGATTTTAAGATTCAATATCTATTATTCATAATTATTTATATTTGCTTAACTGAATTTATACCTTTTTAAATTTATTTACATATAACGATCGCGCTCAAAGTTTTGGGTCTGATAATGCTTCCTGATTTTGGTCTTTTATTTTTTTTTTTAAGAAAACCATTTGATTTCTGCACCCACTCCTCCTTTCTAAAAATTTTTAATCTGCCTCTGGTAACTTTACGCTGTAAATTTCTATTCTCATTTTAATTAAATTTAAATAAATACTAACAGCACTATCATGCAATTTCAATGACTATCATTTAAGGTATTGATTCAGTTTTCTGTCATTCCTAAAAATAAGTTGTACTGTATCGTTGATTTTTTGCATATAAAACAGTTTCTGCTCATCAAACATCCACGAGAAAGTGTTCTGTTTCGCAGTTATTGTACGGTTGATTTAAAAGGGAAAGCTCTCTGGGCCATGTCACAAGAAGGAAAAAAGTAAAATATTTTTCATACCTACCTACCCACTGTTAACAATATGGTTCAGGAAAGGGCATACATTAAGTCTTAATTTTGGCATGCCGCATGGGGTCAAAAATTACTATTGAGTGATGTGGAGATATACCTGTCTTGTAATTATAGGTAAAGATATGAACACTTTAAAAAAAATATACAATGAAATCTTTGAACTGAAAGCAAAATTATCATTGCAGGTTTTCGGGTTTTCACCACAAGAGCAAATTATACAACTTTATTCTTGAAAATGTTAGAGACTGAGACTTGGAGTCAAAGTCAACAGACACGCTTGCATGGACATGAAGGATGTAAAGAACTAGAGTATTATAACTGAAAGCATTTTGTCTGGATTTGTGTATGGAAACAGAAGGATTTAGTATTGGTAAGTCAAGATAGCTGTAAAATCTCATTTTGAACTCTATATGTGAGCAGTACTGTAAACCAACTACCAGGTAGTACACATGTACCCTATTTGTGTCATCTTTTATTTGCATATCTAATCTGTGTTGATTAATTTCCGTGACTAATGAAAGGAAACATTCTCTACAAATATAAAGCAAAATTAATAGTTCAGGGCAATTAATAATTTACTATTCACTAGTAAATGTAGGTCATGAAACTGGCAAATATTTCTTGCACTCAAATAAAAGTTGGTTTACAGTACTTCCGTTGCTCTAAAAACAGAAATAATAAAAAAAAAAGCATGCTGATATCATGTATGTTATGAAGCCTAATACATGTACATAGAAGTATATAAACCGGTATATCTAAAATAAAAAAAAAATTTGGTCCTTGTTCATGATTTCAAAGTAGGTTAAAAGCCTCATGAACATGCTGAGAAGTTGTCAGAAAATATACATGTGTGCTAACCATGCTAACTGTGTAACAATAATCAGAAAATTTTACAAAATATAATCAAAATTTGGTTAATAATAATTAGTCATTGGCCAATTAAATCCATCAATGATTAAATTAGTACTTATATATACTGTCTCCTGATTTTATGACTTTTTATCCTTTTCAACATACTTATTATTTTTGAATTGAAAACATTTTTTTTTACCTGAGAAAATTAAAATTTGCAATTTGTTTTAAATCTAGTGAAGGAAAACAAATGTTTTTAAAATTAATGTGCTTTGATTTAAAAGACTTGTAAACATTAGATTAGTAATACATGTAGTTTCAATACAATTATTAATATTGATGATTGATTTTTTTTAAGATTTGATAGTTATTTTATTTGTTGAAAAATAATTTTTATCTGTAATGTTCATGTATAATAAAATAATGCATTTCCCAATAAGTGATAAATGTTTCCCACAAGTCAGCAATATACACTGAAGTGTACATTTATTGGTTGGGTTCAAAGGCAACATTTATATGGAAACAAAGTTTTAAGGGTAAAGCAATGGTCAATACATGTGTATTCCTCACAAGTGAACAGTGAGAAATATTCCCCACAAGTCAGCAGTGATAAATATTACCTAAAATTGTTAACTGTGAGAAATATTCCCCACAAGTCAGCAATGATAAATATAACCTACGTGAGAAATATTCCCCACAAGTCAGCAGTGATAAATATTCCCCACAAGTCACCAATGAAAAGTATTACAAGTTAACAGTGATAAATATTCCCCACAAGTCAGCAGTGAGAAATATTCCCCACAAGTCAGCAATGAAAAGTATTACAAGTTAACAGTGAGAAATATTCCCCACAAGTCAGCAATGATAAGTATTACCTACAAGTCAACTGTGAGGAATATTCAATAACAACATACAATTATTTTAACCCATTCTCAATCAAATTTGGGGAGTAAATTGGAATTAGCATGTCTGTCTATCTTTCTATAGGCATTACATATTGAGGGATAATGGTGGCATTATTTTTTTAGGAAATCTCACATCAACTTCCTGTTTATCTGTGCGTGTAAATTTTTATACTTTTTTTTTTTCAGCAACTACTATGGTAGCAAGAAGTTTGAAATTTTTTAACACTCTTTGTCGAGGCATATTATATACTGGTAGTGAGATTCATTTTTATGCAAATTCGATGTCAACTTCCTATATATCCACGTGTCTCGAGATCTGTACGCAATTTTTGTTGCAGTTTTTTCACCAACTGACTATCACAGATATAAAAATGTGGTACATGTATCCATTAGATTGAACCCTAGCAATAAAAATCCTGAGTAGCATTCTCTACTGAGACTAGCAAGCTAACCACTATGCTACACAAGTCCTGATGAGGATTGGCATTTAAATCATGTTTGTGATATGACCATTGACTCAGTGGACTTCAAGTTTTTCTCGAAAAGATACAAAAGTTATATCATAAAATTATAATTTTTTAAAAGGTTTATTGGGTTTTTACTCCATAATTTTGGAAATCAAAATAGTATATTTCATTTTGTATGCAAACTTTGAGGATAAACTTGAAAAAAAAAGTGGAGTGAAGACCCACTCATACATTTCAAAACATTGTTTTAAAAAGTGTGTAGTGTTGTTATGATAGTCGCTGACTATCGAAAAATCGTCGTTTAAAGGCCCAGATTGGCGACAATCGATTGTAAATATTATCATCGATAGATCACTATATTTTTCAAGCCGTATTTCTCAAGCCGAGCAGGTTTAACTTTTATATTCACCAAAGGGACATCACTCTAATCAGCAGTAAACAAAATGAGAACGTGCATGGTGAAGAGGTTATAATTATTATATCCATATCCTGGTGCATTGTCTTTTTAAAATACTTCTAAGGATGAATAAATCTAACCTTTTATAACATTTAAAATTATCAATTATATAATTATATAAGTGATTGTGTTCTTCCGATTCAATTTGATAATAGTAAATTTGTCCAATTTTACAACACTAAAAGTGTGAAAAAATGACTCAATTTGCCCTTTTTCGCGTGTGTATTATATTTTACAGGCCAAAAACTTCAATCTTCATGAGATATGTATAAGTTGTAGAGATTTGACAGATTTACATAAAGTATACTTTAATTTTAGATGAAATATTTCGGAAAATTTTGATACAATACTTGATATCGCGATTACTTAACTTAGCTGAACTCTTTCATGAAGGAGGTAGGAATCATCTGTTGGGTGGGAGCAATGTGCTATTCAATACAATTAATGCAAGATCGATCATTGTAGCATTTATAAGGACAGATAAGTAAAAAAATCCTGGTGGAATACCTCGCTAGACAATCGCTGAACCAGCCTTATACATTTTTGAGCCAATCCTAGATTGTCACATTTTTAAAGATATGTTTAATTAAGTGGACTCTTATAGTTAAATTTTCATTGAAAATCGTCACATTTTTCAGTATATAAAATTATTCTTAACTTTCCTTATTTCAATCAAATAATTGGCAAAACATTGATTTTGGCAAAAATATGTTTAATCATTCGATTGTCACTAATGTAGAATAATGTCGCAATTTTTTGCCCCCAGAAATTTAACTTTTTTATCTGATAGATTGAACCCTAGCAATAAAAACATGCATTCTTTTTTTTTCAGCTAAACTATGCTAGCACAAGTTTGAAATTGGCATTTAATATCATGTTTGTGTATGACATAACTAGTGGACTTTCGAAAAGATTTTATCATAAAATTATTTTTTAAAAATCGCAATTTTGGAAATCAAAATAGTATATCCAATAATAAAATTAATTTAAAAAGTGTGTAGTGTTGTTAGATATGACTATAAAGCAGCTAACAATTAAAAATTATTAAATTTTATATGAAAAATTGAATTCAGCTGAAAAGTCCAATAAGATTGGCAAAAATTAAAATTTTTGATAACCATTGACTGGTGCTACTGTCTTTTTCATGCATATAACATGAATATAAACAGTATATCAATAAAAAAACATTTTTTTCAAAAGTTCTGGGCCTTTTTACATTATAATGTTTAAAAATTGGTCAAAAACTTTGAAATTTACATACTTTTTTGCGCAATATGGCCAAAATCATAGAAATATACTGGAAACAAAAAATATTATCAAAACTAGATTTAGCACCCGTATTTCATCAATAGGTTTTATTCACCACACAATCACTTAATCAGCAGTAAACAAAATTTATTAAAAGTATAATTCCTGTGTGCATTGTCTTTTTAAAATTTCTAAGGATGAACAAATCTAACCTTTTATAACATTTAAAATTATCAATTATATAATTATATAAGTTTGATTATATAAAAAATATTCATTCAATTTGATAATAGTAAATTTGTCCAATTTTACAACACTAAAAGTGTGAAAAAATGACTCAATATGCCCTTTTTCGCGTGTGTATTATATTTTACAGGCCAAAAACTTCAATCTTCATGAGATATGTATAAGTTGTAGAGATTTGACAGATTTACATAAAGTATACTTAAATTTTAGATGAAATATTACGGAAAATTTTGATACAATACTTGATATCGCGATTACTTAACTTAGCTGAACTCTTTCATGAAGGAGGTAGGAATCATCTGTTGGGTGGGAGCAATGTGCTATTCAATACAATTAATGCAAGATCATTTGAAAAGGAAATTGTAGCATTTATAAGGACAGATAAGTAAAAAATCCTGGTGGAATACCTCGCTTACAATCGCTGAACCAGCCTTATACATTTTTGAGAGGAGCCAATCCTAAATTGTCACATTTTTAAAGATATGTTTAATTAAGCGGACTCTTATAGTTAAATTTTCATTGAAAATCGTCACATTTTTCAGTATATAAAATATTCTTAACTTTCCTTATTTGACAATCTACTATTTGGAATTCAATATCTGGCAAAACATCGTGATTTTGGCATTAAATTGTTCGAATCATTCGATTGTCACTAATGTAAACAATGTCATTTGCCCCCAGAAATTTAGACTTTTCTTGACTCCCTCGCAAAAGAGCGGAGGTAAGTTAGATAACTGCGAGGTACTCATTGGTAGTCGCGACATAACATATTGAGATTTAATTTTTTCACCTTCATGTTTGTTGCGCTATAGGCTTATCCCTTGTTATGTTCTCGGACTCCCATCTCATTTATCATCCAATAATAAAATACATTTCCAAAGCATGTGAATTATATTTAGATGATAATTAAATACATATGATAAACAATAGATAAAAATTGATATTTTTGTCCTTTCTACTCTTCATGCATATAACATGTATAAAGTCCACAACAATAAAATGATTCATTTGATTTTTGTTAGGATTTGTTCATCGACATCCAACATATTGTTTACATGTTTATGTTACGTTTGTCCCAGAAATCCTGAAAGATTTGTACACTCTGCAACTTTTTTACAGAGGAGCGCACTAAAATCTTAAACTCTTCCATAGTTGAAATAAGACGTATTGGTAAATAGATTTTGCCCTGTAGTCCATCTGGCTGTTTGTCCTCAAAAACTTTAACCTTGCTCATAACTTTGGAGTGAGTGGGGCTATGGCTTTCATATTTCACTGCTGTACACTTGTATTTCTTGTGACAAGACCTTTCTTTGGGTACCACCACCACCAAATTTGACCTCTTGACCTTGAAGTTTGACCACTTTTACAAAAATATATCACTCTTCAACCTTAGTTATAACTTATAACTTTTGCACAGTTGGTGTTAGGGCTTTCATACTTCTCATTGGTATGTTCAATAATTTTTTTGACAGGTCTGCCCAAGTTTTGTATTAAAACGCTTCTGAAACTCATCTGTAAAAAACATTTAATATTGTTGGCCGATTTAAACATTTCGGGAAAATAGCAAAAAAAATGAAAACGTGAAAAAAAAAACTATGAGGTTCGGAGAGTAAAATGGAGGATAGGTCAGGTGACAGGAAACATGAGTACAGTCATGTATATTTTTTTTGCCCCGGTATAGTGTCATATTTGATATTATATGGAATATGTGATTTGCAGCACATTCTTACTGATATTTCTTTAAATTACAGGTATCCTGAATTTTTGTCAACTTCTAGCCAAGATCCTGTACTTAAGCTGAATGTGGAGGACAGATGTACACACAGTACTAGTATAGAGGGTAAGTAGACCATAAAAAAAAACAAGATGTGTTTGTGAAACACTATGCGCCCGGCGGCAACAAAGTTTGGAAAAAGCTATTTTTAGCATTAAGGTCACAGTCAAGGTCACAAAGTCATTGACCTTGGTGTCATTTGAAAGAGGTTGATTAGTGGAGTATGGAGTGGACTCCATGCCACTAAACTGGAAGTGAACACCGCAGTGAATATTTTACGTAATTGAAGAAAAGAAAAAAATTGTATGTAAATCTTCATGTACAATATTATGTTTCCATATGTGATCAATTAAAAAAAAATATATTTTTAAAACAAAATAATGCCTCATCAGGTCGGTAAGACAAGCTGTTTGGCTCTTTGTTGACTTGGCTTTTCAATGATTTAAATTTGGCACCGTGTAAAAATAGAATTATCTGTCCCTGGTACATATCGTCTTACAAGTAAGAAAAAGAATTGATAACTTTTAAAGTTTTCTTAAATATGTTTAAAATAACTGAATCAAAATATGTTGAATAATTATTTATTTTATTTCATTTGAACAAGCTTTCATCATCATGATCATGTTCATAGACGTCAAATATACACTGCGAGATTTACTTCCAGTTTAGTGGCATGGAGTCCAGGATGAGCTGTTAAAGTGGAAAAAGGGCCAGAAACGGCCTGTAGTCGTCAAGCAGATTGGATTTCTTAACTTGAATAAATAGTAAAACGCTCCGAATACTGAATTTGTTGCGAGATTTTTTAGGCCAAGCCCAGATCTATTAGTTTAAGTGTGTCCCCCCAAAACATATTGCCATCATGGTGTATTTTAGTTGAAGGTAGGAAAATTTCTTTCCGGATTTTTTTTTTTTTTTTTTTGACGATAAGAACTTCAGACTCCTGTCCTATAACATTTTTAAAAATATTTATTGATTTTTTTTAAAGTCACTTGCCCACGGGCATGTACCTATTAAAAAAATTCACTTGCCTCCCCCCTTAAAAATTCACTAGCCCCGGGCGTCGGGCAATGGGATTTGTCAGACCCTGGTAGTGTAGATTCAAGCTTGTTCAAATCATGACCCCCCAGGGGTAGGGTGAGACCACAATGGCCGATCAAAGTTTTACATAGGAGTATATAGGAAAAATCTTTAAAAATCTTCTTCTCAAGAACTACTGGGCCAGGAAAGATGAAACTCATGTGTAATCATCTTCAGGTAGTGTAGATTCAAGTTTGTTCAAATCATGACCCCCGGGGTAGGATGGGGCCACAATAGCTGATCAAAGTTTTCCTAGGAGTATATAAGAAAAATCTTTAAAAATCTTTTTCTCAAGAACCACTGGGCCAAGAAAGATGAAACTCACCCGGAATCATATTCAGGTAGTGTGGATTCAAATTTGTTCAAATCATGACCCCCAGGGGTAGGGTGGGGCCACAATGGCCAATCAAAGTTTTACATTGGAGTATATAGGAAAAATCTTTAAAAATCTTCTTCTCAAGAAACACAGGGCCAGGAAAGATGAAACTCATGTGTAATCATCTTCAGGTAGTGTAGATTCAAGTTTGTTCAAATCATGACCCCCAGGGGTAGGATGGGGCCACAATGGCCGATGAAACTCTTTCATAAGAATATATATGAAAATCTTTTTAAATCTTCTTCTCAAGTACTTCAAAGCCATGATTAGTGATATTTATATGGAATCAACCCCCTTAATGTATATTTTAGTTTGTTCAAATCATAACCAAGCGACCCCCCCCCCCCCCCGCCTCTCAATTTTTCAGTTTTGACCTGATCTGTGCTTTTTCCTAGACAATGTGCTCAGGTGAGCCCCGGTCAAATAAAAAGGTCAAGGATTAAAATCATTCCAAGGTCCGAAACATCTCGATCTTGTCTCACAAAAGGGACATCAAAAATTAAAACCAAAATCAAATGTTACAATGAAAACAAGACTCACCGGGGTAGGGCGGTGCCACAATGGCTGATCAAAGGTTTACATAGAATATAGAATATATACGGTTTGGAAAAATCGGTGGTTTTAATTTCAAAATCGTTTGTAACTCGGGTACTATGACTGTTTCTAGGTAGAAATGACGTAAAATAATAATCACGATGGTTTAAAGTTCGCGGAAAATTCAGAAATCGTGAACATAGTGAAATTAAAAACACCGTAATGTTTTCCACTTCTACAGTATATAGGAAAAATCTTAAAAAATCCACTGGGCCAGGAAAGATAAAACTCTTGTCGAAGCATCCTTAGGTGGTGTAGATTCAAGTTTGTACAAATCATGACACCCGGGGGTAGGGCAGGGCCACACTGGCTGATCAAATTTTTATATAGAAATATATAGGAATTTTTTTTTAAAATCCTTTGCTCAAGATCAGCAAAGCTATGATTGTGATATTAATATGGAAATATCCTCAGAGTTAATTCAAGTTTGTTCATAACATGATCTCTTGGGTTTAGGGAGGGTTAACGAGGGGTCACAATGGGAGATCAAGTAATATGTAGGACAAATCTTCTTTTCAAGTATGGCAAAATTTAGCTGCAGATCTGTAGCACTATGGTTTTATAATTTGTCTGACTCTAACGCTACAGGTCCCGTAATGCAAAAAAGGTGGAATTTACGGGGCATTGTTTGCGCACTTTTGGGGAAAATTTTTCCATTTTCTAGCATTGGTCAATCAACTACCTTTCCATTCCTAATTCTGGACTTATTCTGTATAAAATAGTGTATATTTTATCCACCTCCCAACCATTTTTAGTTATATCTACAGTTAAAAAACTCACTTGAAGTGAATTTTCAGCAGTACATGTATAACATATAATTTTAATCAAGCGAGTTCTCAAGTATTAAAAAATTTCATCCCCCCCCCCAACAAGTAAACTTCAATAAATTTCATCCCCCCCCCCAACAAGTAAACTTCAATACTGAGCTGACTTGTGTTTTTTTAACTAGCCCATGTGCTCAGGTGAGCGATGTGGGCCCATGGGCCTCTTGTTTTCATTGTAACTTTTGATTTTGGTTTTCATTTTTGATGTCCCTTTTGTGAGACAAGATCGAGATGTTTCGGACCTTGGAATGATTATAATCCTTGACCTTTTTATTTGACCTTAATTCAAAATATTGCTTTGGAATTGACAATATATGATAGGGAATTAATATTTAACACAATATGCTATATATAATAGCACCTTACAAACTAAGACACCGAAAGCGAGGGACCACAATTATTTGAATTTGCTTGATTACATTGCTTTAAATGCTCAGAAATGATGTTTTCTAATTTCAGGTATTATCTCGGTACCTTAAAACTCCAAACGACAGGGAGAAGAAGAAAACTGCATATTTCCGATGTATCTTCACAGCAACATGACCCAAAGCACTACCATTAAAGGATTTGATTTGACATTAAGGAAGTAAAAAAATGAAGGCATTAGTCATAAAGAAAATTAAAGAACTTTATGTCTGAATATTATATCAACAATACCATAGATCTAAAGATGGATTATTTTGCCTTATAATTTATATTAATGCATGTACATGTAATTTTATTCTTTTTATATATACAATCATGTAGTGTTACCATTTTTCACAAAGCTTAAAAAGTTATGTAGGGCCACACCAATTTAATTTCTTGTTCGTCGGACATTTGATTTAAAAAAAGTACAAGCAGTTAAATGATAATATTATTACTCTTTGCTGGGCAATTTTTTAGGCGGAGCGTGAAAATTTGAGCGGACAATTATATTTTTTCTGATTTACAGAGTAAGCAGATATAAAATACAATAAATAGAGCGGAAATGGAACAGAAAATAGCACAGAATTCCTATGGTGCGAGAAATTGAAATTAATATTATTTGTATGGTTTTGTTTAAATAAGCGCGTGGGTCCGACGAACAAAAATTTTCATTAGTGTGGCCTAGATCATTTAGATTCAATTCATTTTTTTCTTCAAATTACCACATGCCAGAATTCATAAGAAGGAAATTTATATATGGCTGGTGGTTGTGGCCATTTTTAGACTATATTGATCTCCTTTAGAAGGAGAGCTCCTTATAAAATTATACAAAAAATGACCAAATTTTAAAACTAAAATGTACAGAATTTTTCTTTGCCAAATGATAGTTCATAGAACCACAATTCTTCAATCATGTCTACTTGGAGATCAGTGGATGGATATTCATATACAATACACAGCTGAAGCAGGTTTTGTTAGGTTATTTTATTTTCAAAAGGAATGCATTATTTTCTTCAGTCCATTAATGTTAAGCTCTTTAATAGAAACAATTGTAGAAGATTTATCATATTTTGTTTAGAATTTTGAAGAATTTGTTAATCACTCAGTGAAAATTATCCCTTGTCATAATACAAATTTTTAAAATGTATGTACAAATACTTTTATGTTGAAATGACCATGCAAGGAAGAAAATAAAACAAGTTTAAGTGTACACTTTATGCTTTTATATCCAAATTGGCTTCTGTGGAAGGAGAAAGGTTCATATAATAGTATATTAATTAAAGGAGTACATAATGTCCTTTAGAATTTCAGTAAAATTTCTTGACTTTCATGTTAAGGTCATACGCAACGTAGTTTTAACTTTTTAGGTCACCTGAGTAAACTCAGGTGACCTATTGCTATCTGTTTTCATCCGTCGTCGTCCGTCGTGCGTCGTGTGTTAACATTTGTACATTTTCAGCTTCTTCTCTGCAACCACTGAACCAATTTCAACCAAATTTGGCACAAAGCATCTATAAGTGAAGGGGAACAAAAATTGTGAATTTCATGATCCCTGCCCCCCTGGGGCCTGAGGGGTGCCAAAACCACTAAAATTAATGCAATCTTTAAAAATCTTCTTCTTTACTCCTGGACATCAAGCAGTCAAATTGTTTGCATGATTGTGATCAGCAATGAGTCCTCTACCAAAATTGTGAAATTCATGGCCCTGGGGTCAGGGGTTCTAGTTCTAGGGCGGGGCTAAATATGTAGGTAGTGAAAATACATTATTTCTTTGAAAGTCTTCTTCTCTGCTCCTGGGTATTAAATTAAGTACAAGTTAATTGCCTTTACCAAAATTGTGAATTTTATGGCCCCGGGGTCAGGGGTTCTGGTGTTAAAAAAATCTATTGATTACATAGTGAAAATAATAATTCTTTGAAAATCTTTTCTCTGCTCCTGGGTATTGAATAAATAACTTTTATTTGAGCAAAAGTGCCTCTACCAAAATTGTGAATTTTATAGGGTCAGGGGTTCTTGTTTTAGGGTGGGGCTCTAATGATTATATATAGTTTGAATTCTTTGAACATCTTCTTCTTTGCTCCTGGTTAATATACTAATGATCTAATTAAACTATTTAAGGCCAGGATTTATTTTATTTTAAGTTTTGTAAAGGTTTTGAATTTTCAGAAAAAAATAAAAAAAATTTCTTTCCGATGTCAAATTTGAGTCGGGATCGACATTTCAAATTAACGAACTCGCACTTCCGGTTTGAGAAAGCTAGAACTGAGAAGACACCTTGGTTTAGTGTAAAATTCATCGATACGAGTGCCATTCAAAACGTTTCACCCGTTCAAAGGACAAATAAAATGCTGACGACTTAACAATGACATGCTGGTGAGTATAGTTTCAAAAGTATCTGTCTGTAAATTATTTTCCTCCCCCAGGTTTTAAACTTAACTGCCCATGGTAGCTATTGCATATTGCCAGCGACATTGTTTAGGTCTCTGTTATAGCTTAAGTCAAAAAATTCAATAGAAAATGTTGCTTATGCATCAGATGTAATGAATAAAACTAGGAGAAGTTAAGTCCATTTGAGGAAGAAATAAACAATAAGAAATTAAAAAAAAAAAAAACTATTAAAAGGCAAGAATATACAAATATATACAGGCGTGTAGTATCATCTGCATCAGCCAGAAAAATTATTTTACACTTAATTGAAAAAAAAGTTCACCCTTCTCCTCAATACTCCCTGTCTGTTTCATGATAGGAATTATAATTTTAGGCTTCAAGTAAATTTTAGAACAATGTCTACAATTTAACACATATTCAAAAAATGAAGATATATTGAAAGACTTTTAAAGAATTGATTTTTAGAAATATATTTTGACAAACATCACAAAATTTATATAACTGGCCCAGACTGGCAGATGATGAAATAAGCAATTAAATGTTCTACTTTCCTATTGTAAGCATTATGTGTCCAGTGGTAAGGGGCCTATTTAGAATACATAAAAAAAGATTGAACAATTGTTAATAATTGATTTATCAAAAAAAAAATTTTTATTTCCTTCTCCTTCGGGACTTTTTTATTGAAATGTTCATAACTAAACCTAAAAAAAAATGCTGGCCTTATAATGAAGAAAGGGGCCTCTTTCAAAATAGATAATTTCAGGGCTGCTGGGTCAGGGGTACCAGTTGAGGTACTTTGACTAAAAATGAATTAATTTTGAAATGTGCCCTTTGATTCAATGGTGCCTCCTTCAAAATTTGTGAATTTCATGGCTTTTGGATTAAAAACGAGTCAAATACAATCGCTGGAAAGTTGTTACATGATACTCAGGTGACCTATAAGGCCCGTGGGCCTCTTGTTTTGATTCTGCCTTGGAGTTGAAGAGTTCCACTAAATGAAGGGCCTGTGTGCAATATTTTTAATGTCTATATATGGATTTGTACACCTCTTCTTAAACAATTTTTGATGGAAAAAAATCTGAAATTCATGTTTTATAATTTTTGTACATTTTTATTTAAATAATGCAAAAATTTTCAAAATTCGATATCTTTTCAAAACCCCTGGAAACGCATGCTGATTTTTTGTCCAAGAACATTTAATGATATTATAAGTTTAAATTTAGAATATCTTGGAAAATTATCAGTAGGTAAGGTACGTTGTGTATGTCCTTAATAGACATGAATTTAATTCGAATGGGGGTTGCATTCCATTCCATCTTGTTTTGAAAATGAAAGGATTAACTTCCATTGTACATGTAATTGTCGTACATCTCAATACATTCATATACTAGAATGAGTAGATTATATAGAAGAAATTTGAGAAAAAAAGGAAAGGAAGTAAAAGTCAATACATGTGAATAAGGCCACACTGTCCGTCGGACATTTGATGAAAAAAGTACGAGCGGGGTAGCGGTTAAATAATATTATTACTTTTTTGAAGGCAAAATTTTAAGGCGGGGCGTGAAAAAAATTGAGCGGACAATTATATTTTTTCTGATTTGCAGAGTAAGTAGATTAAAAGTACGATAAATAGAGCGGAAATATAACAGAAAACAGCAAAGAATTCCAATGGTGCGGGAATTTCAAATTTATATTATTTGTATAGTTTTGTTTAAATAAGAGCGCGCGGGTCCGACGAACAATAAATTTTATTGGTGTGACCTAATTCCTAGCTGCAGAACTGTAGCGTTGTGGTTTTAAATATTAGTCTTGTCCATAAAGCTACAGATCCCGTAATGCAAAAAAAAAGGTACCATTTACGGCTGAAGATTTTTTTGCGCACTTTGGGGGAAATTTCTCCTTTTTCCAGCATTGTTCAATCAACTAACTCTCACTCCCGAATTCTAGACACATTCTGTAACCAATCTGTATATTTTATCCACCTCCAAATCCTTTACAGTGGTAAACTGATTTGATTAGAATCGTTTGTTAAATTGCTGAAAATACACTTCAAGCGAGTTTATCGCCTGTAGAGACTGCTATCAGGCATGTAGCATCGTTTTTGAAAGTGATGGGGGGGGGGGGGGGGGCAACCAGAGAATTTTTTTTTACTTACCTGTAAAAGTTGACAAGCATAAAAAAAAAATTCCCAACTTTTTCCAAGGCCAACTTCCTTTTACTTCCAATTTTTTCGCATACAATACATACAATACTACATTTCCTTCATATCACTATACGGTGGTAAGAATTGGGGGGGGGGGGAACCAACTTTACAGTGGACATTCTCAATAGTAAAGGTAATGTTGGGGAAAAAAGTGGGGGGGGGGGGCTAGGCCTCCTCCTGGCCCCCACTGTTGCTACGTCCCTGACTATAAAGAGTTGAGAGGTGGATAATATAAACAGATTGTTGAAAGAATGTGTCTAGAATTAGTGAGTGAATGGTAGTTGATTGATCAATGCTTAAAAGTGGAGAAATCCCCCCCCCCCCCCCCAAACTGCGCAAAACGCAATGTTTTCACTCAGGACCAGTGGCTTGCGAGGATGGACTAAAACTATATTAAGAACTTCCTGAACTAGTTTTGAAATTTTTTCTCCGGAATTGGGGGGGGGGGGTTACTTTTTTCTATGCATAAATAAAGACAAATAATAACCCCATTGAATATGTCCGTAGAAAAAGTTCTGTCCTTTATGGAGTAAATGTAAATGTCTCAATAATTTCCGAATATCCCTCGTATATTGATAATATTACATTATACCATCATTGTATTTTTTTTTAAGGTCAAGGCAATGACTCAGAATTTAGAGGAGTAAAGGGCTTATCGAGCCCAAAAGGGCAAGGAGAGCGTTGTTTTTCAATTTTAAAAAATCAGTGATCGTCATGACAGAAAAAAAAACATCAATGAAAGTTTTATATGATTCAACGATTAAAACTGATGGAGCAGACATGTCAAGTTTCTTGTTTAAAAGTCAGAGACATGCAAACCCAATGAGACCATCGGAGCTAACATCAGCTTAATTTAACCAGTATAAGTTTTGTATTTGAAATCTTTTTTGGCAAAATGTAGAAAAACAATAAATATCGAAGCATACCAATGAAAGGTGTATTTTAAGAGGCAAAATGACAAATTACCTTAGAAATATCTTGGATCAAAAAGTTTTGTGATGTAAGGGTGATTTCCTTTTACTCTTCTGTATCAAATTTAAAACGTTTGGGGGTAGCATGAAAAGGACAATCAGACTTCCAGTGAACATTTTAAATGTTAAAAAAGAACAACAACAAAAAAATACGATCATGGAAATAGAAGTGGGAGGATACTCCACCCCTCCTGATTCTATCACCCCCTCAAATCAAGGGTTTTTGATCCGCTCCGCTTTATGCGGGCATCAAAAACCGGAGGGCAAGCCCCTTCTCAATTTCCTAGTGCCTGAATATGTTCGTTTGAGCGAAATTCGGATGCAGATGATATAACTTTTCTGAAATTGTTTTCAATCTACTGTATTTTCAGTTCAATTTAGGAATGAAATATCCTTATATTCACTAGGAAGGTCAAAATTGAAAACATTTATCTACATCAAAAATTCAAAATACACAAGACTGTATTGAAATGTTTTTACATTAGTTTCACAATTGAAGCACTGTTTTAAAGTGGTGTCATTTTGTAATTTTTGAATTTACTACCACCCGGTAATCAAAAAATTACAATATGACAATGGGATTTAAAAAATTCCTCTAAATATGCCTGTATCCAATTCTCAGACGACCATGTTATCATACATGTACAC